TATAATATATATTAAACAAACCAGCATACGAGTCCCTTTAGACAACCCTCTCTTCCCAAGAGTTAGGGGTTTTTCCTACGATCTCACTCACTCGGGGAAAAGGAACGAAAGATTTGCATAACGCTGGTCTTCGGTGAGGTGGTGGTGCAATGGTATTTAAAGGAAGATACGTTATATTCATACTTCACGCACAAAATATTTGTTCCGTAACACTACATACATCTATTAATGCCTTTTAGAAGAAAACATACGCTACAAGTGCAATAGGACATAGGGAAAGCATAAGAGTGAAAGAGACAGCTATCTGTAATCAGTGCAGCGACAGAAGACATTCTATGATTTTTTTCGAATTAATTAGTACGTCCGCGCGCTTTTTGTGGTCCTAATTAGGATCCTCACGTTTTGTACGGTGGTGGCGTACATAATATCATGGCCGTGGTGTCACTCCGGTCGAGGCGGCCCATATGTGCCCAAGCATTATCTGTAGCTTAGATCATTGACATTTTTATAAATGATCATTTTTATTTTAGTCTTTGAATATGAGCATTGGTGCATAAACATTTCGAAAGTATTATAAGTTTGTAAAAACCAGATGCAATGTTTGAAATGAGCTATATATATGGTATGTATGAAATGATGATTATATTCCAAATATCATAAAATGTATTCTCAGACGTTGCAAAATTTTAGTTCTAAAATATCTATACCTTGTTTGTTGATGTGCAAAGGAATATAAATAAAAATGTATCATTGTTTTTGACCTTAATTCGTAAACAAAGTTGTGTTTCATTGGTATAAATAATTATAACTAATGCATTAGTATCGTCATTCACTCCGCCTCCGCATTTTCAATGTGAATGAGTGGTCGTTAAAGTCAACCGGACTTACAACAATGCTAGCAATATTTTAATGTTTACTAGGTACTGAAACAATATGCTTCTGTCATATAAATTTATGTGGCCAACTATAGTTTGACCAATATGTTTTTAAGTATTAATAATGGTTTGCTCCAGTATTACTTGACCACTTTACGATTTCTAATCTATTTTCAATACGGCCAAGTAGTAAAAAAACTTAAACGTAGGTACTGCAATTTCCGTCCCGTTTTCTGGATACAAACGCCACAAATAACTTAATCCTCATCCTCCTCCTCCTTCTTACCCCTTTCCCATTTTCTCCTCTATCACTTGATATCAAACACGCATTTCTGCATTTAATAGTGAAAATTGGATTTTTCTTTTTAGTGTGAAGTGAAAGATATTTGAAAATTCCGTATACCCAAGGTTTTTCCTATTGTCAAACAAAACAGCTTCTTTTTAAATTCGAACACTAAACAATCTCTTCTAAAGATATTTTTGCATATTATTTGGTTTATTACACTTACACACCCTGGAGTACTTAACCGGTGCACAGTAAAACAGCATAATTTTATCTAAAAGAAAATAGAGGGATACCTGAACTCATTGGCATAGTTTACAGAAGAGTGCGAGTGAAGAGGATGGGCAAGGCTACTGCTAGGAAGGCAAGAAGCCACAAAGAGGAAATGACGATTTTTATTATTAATTAAATATTAATATATTATAAATACGGAATAAAATAAATACAATAATATCTGAGGTGACTAAATCATGAGGATATTCTGCTAGCTGTTTCCTGTAGAATTCTCGGACTTTAGCTTTAAATGTGTCATGACTTAATGACATCCTGATCTCAAGTGGGAACGCATTCCATAGTAGAATAGATTGGACAGCAAAAGTAGAATTAACAAGAAAATAAATGTACATTAGATACAGGGACTAAAATATTATTAGTGGACCGAAGATCTCTGTCATGGTTGGAGCATAGGGGTTTAAGCTGTGAGATAAGTGGGAGCTGTTTTTAAGATTACCGTGTCTTGCAAAACTTATCTAACTACATACTAAATAAGTCACTATTTTAGTATGAAATATTTTCATTGCTGCTCACTTACATAGTAAGGGATTGACCTCTTTAGGTGGATTAAGTGTCACTTGACAAAGCTCGACGATGCCGTACATGGAATCGTCGAGCCTACGTACACAGTTTATACTAATTTAATCTAAACCCAAAAAACAGAATGGTCCATAACTAGTTTGTTTTATTTTCTTTAAAACTAGGTAGGTACCGTATGTAATTAACGAACATACGATGTTAATTTGATAAAACACAAATTGCATTACTCATATTACGTCCAGTCCGGACTTGCAAATTGTCTTAAATACTTCCTAAATGAGTCGTGTCAAGGTATTGGTATCAGGCGCCAGGCGCCATCAAAGCTGTATAATAATACAAGTTTCAATATTTATAATTGCCGTTTTGAAACACATTTATCTGAATTTAAATAAAATATTACTGTCTTACTTTTGCAAGTTTACTAATATTGTTTAATTAGATGTAAAAGGTTCATGTTCGTAAATGTAGACTTTAAACACAAATAACAAACCATGTATTAGGCACTGTGTCTGGGCTTATTCCATATACGAGTACCGAGTTTTATATACCATTACAACACGATAAAAATATAAACACGTTACACAAAGACACACACACACATCTAACACCCTAGGTAATAATAACCATTGAGATATAAGCATAGAGTGAACAAGAGCCCCAATCTTGCAATTTAGGCAACGAGAGAGATGGATACTAGACAGTTCCCTCTATCTCTTTCTAGTCGAGCTCTGTGGTTGGCTGGGAAAATTTCTAATCTCCCGCCTGTTCTACGATCAAAACCATGCCCACTTCATTTAATCGAAGCTTAGCTAAACAGAGACAGAGAGAACTATCGGGCACCCGTCTCTCTCATTGCCTGTATCGCTTCCATTTACAGGCAGCTGTACCCCGTGTTCTCTCTATGAGAATAACTGATTATGAACTGTAATTACTTACAAGTTAAAAGTGGTAAAATGTAAGGTTATCCATAACCTTACATTTTACCTCTTATTATTTTTAATATTAGAACTTTGAATATTTAACATCCAGCAATACCTACATACTCGTATACCTAATAACTTCTTTCTGACTGACTGAAAATATTAAATGAGTTTGTACATCAACATTTTTAAGAGTGTTGATATTATTTATTGGTTTTCGCCTAAAAAGTTTCCGGTTTAATTCAGAGAATTTTTGACATTTATAAATGGCAGATTACTTAAGTGTAGGGTAAAAGCTTTTACAGGAATGGCGAGGTATTGTTTACATTATTAGGTAATAGCGTAACACACGTCGAAGGCATATAAATAGAAGCATTATACTACTCGTTCGTTCGTGTTTTCAACAATGTGGACTAAATTTATTGATGACAAAAGAGCATGACTTCAATTAGAGAGTTGAAAGAATTTGACCACAGAACAAAATAACATGAAATGACCATTATATTATACAATAAATATGATAAAAACCTAAAAGGTGGTGATTTGTTGTAAGTTTTTTTAACATCTACCTGAGTAAACTTGACCTGTGACCCATGATAAAGTAGGTAGGTATTATTAATATTAAGTCGGCATTTAGCTGGCAAATAGGTACGCGTATTCTATGTAAAGATACATTCAATTCCTCATAAAAGAACATTAAAATATGTTTAATAACGCACTTTGATAAAATGACCTGTTCTGCACTTTTCCTGCCGGTAGGTAATTATTATCAATTACTAACATCGAACGTAAATGGAAAGCTGCCGATTTAGTTCTTAGATACTTGAGGATTATAGCCTTAAGATTGTATATTACCTGTGAATTAACTAGATAGCCAGTAAATAGGGCACTGTGTTCAAACAGTTCATAGGGATAAAAGAGAGAATAAGCATTCACGGTAAATTTTATGAATCAATATAATATTTTGTCTACAAAACAAACAATTATCGAGAAAAACAGTTATGTCTTTTCAGGGAAACTTTCCTTCATATGATGAAACGGTTTAGTTGGAATTTAACCAAATACCTTACACATATCTCGTAATGATTTATGGGTACCTACCTACATACTTACATTTGCGTGTGGGCAAGAACGCACCATGAGTAACGTTTCCTATTTGTATTAAATGCTATAATACATTACATACACAAGATCGCCTACAGTACTTATGGACATAATTGGATCTTTTCATATTAACGCATTTCAATATTGTGACTCATTAGTCATTATGCCATCAAGGTCTCTTTGCTGGTTTAATGTAGCCCCAAACGGAGTGTTATTTTAACTTTATATCTCTGTAAAAAACAATTTATTTAGATGTGTTCAATAAAACGTAGATTGATTGCTTAAAATCGTAAATAATTCCGAAACAACTTGTCGACTGAAAAAAACGACGAGATTTATTTGATGATTATAGTCGCTCTGGCTGAATCTGTACAATAAAAGATGGGCTCCACCGGAAGTTCTCTTGCACCCTAAACAAGACCCTGCCTATACCTAACCTGCTCTTGATCCATACGACTGATGACAAGATAACAAAAAACTAAAACGTAAATTATCTCACATTCATTAGGTAATTTCCACGTCAACGTCAAATTTTACGTAATTCAAGATGACCTCACAATTTTTTGTAAAAACATTTGCTACACTGATCTACCGCTTCATTTATTAAAATGTATGAACCGCTTAGCAATAAATAAGCTAATCTTGTTTGGGTATAGCGTGGATTACCATAAGCAGAAGTGTCAGATCGAGATTCATGAATCACTGACGTAGTTTGTTACCAGCTATGCATCACATCACAGTGAGGATGATCGAATATGAGCCACGGAATGGGCAGACGTGGAATGAGCGAGAAACATAGTGTGGGACGAATGACGCCGACTGAGTCTCCACGTTCGAACGTGAGGCTATTTAAAACTGTGCGCAGGCCCCGTGGCGCCGAGTCGACATCTAATGATCAGTCCTGCCTTGTCTGCCGTTGAGTGCGTAGCGACACTGTGATCCGTGTTTACATAAGAACGTTTCAGTGTTTGTTTAGTTACACAAATCCTCAAAACACAATCTAAAATGGCTGATAGTGGTCTGAAGAGAAATATTCCTATCAAACTTGGTGACTTTTCTGTCATCGACACTGAATTCTCAAGCATCAGGGAACGATTTGATGCCGAAATGAGGAAGATGGAAGAAGAAATGAGCAAATTCAGATCAGAACTAATGAATAGAGAAAGCAACAACTTCTTCAAAAGCACAACTAGGTATTTATCTTAATTTAATATAGTTTATTTGGCATGTTTTTTTAGTTTTAATCTTCACGATATTTAACTACTTTTGTAAATATACCTTCAAACTGAATTAAATTTATTCTTATTGGAGGTAGTGAACGTAAACGTTTGATAATGTAATTGACGAGTAGAATGTTAATTTATAATTTGTCATGTGGATGGCAGTTGAATATGCCGGGTTTTTGTACGGCTGTATTATTATTCGGCGTAACAGTTACGTCGCCGGCCCTGTTTGCCTTAAAGGGAATCTTGAATTAATGAGTCGTGGTTTCGCAACGCAGTCGCCTACCTCGACGATCTCGCCGGTTCCAAGAAAGTATATTCACAAGGTATTATTCGGGTTCAGCCCGCGGAACGACATCAACTGTAGACAACTCACTCGTCTCCATTTAAAGCGTGCAGCGATACGTAAGCCCGACGCGGGATGATGTCATAAATAGAAATAGCCAGGCTGCGCCGCCTGCACGCAAGAGCATTTCGTTACTAAAACATAGAAACACGAGATATTGTAAACACAATGTATGTTAAGCAGTATTTTATAACGCTGATTTATGTTTATCGATTGCCTATAAACGGATTACAAGTAAACGCAACTAAAACTACCTACCTATTCATTCCAATGATGTTTGTTTTAAACAACTGAAAGAGGCGTTTGCGTGTTGAAGATATCATCAACTGTTTATCATCTTAATTTCCTAATATAAGAGCATTGACTTTCATACTCATACTCAAAAGTAGGGATCGATAAAGATATGTGAACCAGCGCCCTGTGAAGAAGTCAATCAAGTCAAATTCTAATTCGGAAATAGCGCAAAATTTTGATATGAAAAAAGGTTTACGATTGTTTTATCAACACAGGTGAAATAGTTTTGCTTGGCGCAAATGCGCTAAATTTATGTTTACAGCATGAACACATGACCCACTTGGAGCGAGTTGGTGCTGTTTCAGCCGCAGCTCAGTGATGTAATAATTTCACTCGAGAGTTCATGCATTTCCAATTTTGTATACTTTAAGTATAGGCCTTCAACGAACTCCATAAACTTTTGCTTTTAAAATGTAGGTATATCTTATGTGACTTTCATTGTCAAAGTCATTAAAGTTCTTAACTGTATGTATATAAAATACACATATAAAATATACAAACGTACTATACTGCTTTAATAAATAATTTAAAAACTTACTAATTGTTCGAAAATTTAGAACGTAAGTTTGTTAAGTCAGTAATCTAAAAGGAAATTAATTACCAAATAATAATTTGAGGACAACACTTGCAAACGTGATTAAGGATCGTCAGTAGCTGTTAATATATTTATTAGAAATACATTTGAATATGAAATAAACATTAAAATGATTTGTAGCTACAAAAGCTACTACGTCATAAAACACATTTAGGTCCTTGCTCAATTCGTTCAAGTGTGGGGGCCCACTGGTCCGCCCAAGTGCCGATGGTTCCGCGTGGGTGACGTTACAAGAAGTGTTCGTACATATTTGGTAATCGCGAGTGTGATTACATACTTAGCGAAATATTCAAAATTAACGAAACCACTTTATACTATGTGTAGTCTTGACTTTGTTGACGTCATCTTATCAATCTTCAATGTCTACATTGCTACGATATAAAACCACACATTGTAGAGTATGCTTTATCATACGCGATTTAATATTCAGTATTTTACCTATTTTTATTGAATTGATATTTATTATTTAGATGTAATTAATAAATAAATACATATGCTTTCAATTTAAAATGTTATTAAGTATATTATTTATTTACTATATCTAGACATACATATAATATGTAAAAAACTAGAATACCATCCGCGAACCTACAAAATTAGCTTGTTGAAGAAAAAACGGCCAACGAAGGGTTGTTTAGGCGGCGACATGCCGTAAAGTATTGATTTCTACCGAAAAACTTCTTTCCTCGTGATATCACTAGTTCTTTAGTAATGTTGTAAACTCAAACGACTTCAATCGGTAGAATCTTGAATTTATAAGAATAATTTATCTCCGTTGTTGCTTATAGTTATAACCGAGGACTTTTAGCGGGTTATCCAATCATTTTATTAATAAATAAGATATGAAATGCTGGTAACATCTCCCTCCCATGTTTTTGATATATTTTCGTGATATTGTTGTATATTTTCTTCCCTAATAGACGTGTTTATCACCACCATAAAAAAAATGATAAAAAACATGTTTTGAGCTTAGAACTAACAACAAACATTGCTTTTTGCATGTCTTACAATTTCGAATCTGTTTCCTCTGGAGGAGTAACCAAGTCGTCGGAGAGGTAAAAATATAAATAATATTCTAGTATCCGTTATTTAGTGTATTTATCTAGTATTTCTTATTTAGCATACATAAATACATATGTTTATGCATGTAGTGTGTAGTTTCAAAAATAAAGATATCCAATGGCTAAAAATGGGTAATGTTTTTCATTTTCTCAGTTATTTCTAAACTTCTAATACGACAAAATCAACTTGTACGAATAGCTTGTAAGAAATTGTAATAAATTTTGATTTTCCAAGTATGTCATTAGAGGAAATCGAAATGTTTTTAATAGCTTTAGCTTGTTTCTACCAATAAAAAATAATATAATCTATGACAATTGCTGGAACCGAACATAGCTCGCCCATCAATTTCTTTTTTAACTCTTATTATTATAAAAGTCATATTCGATGTTTGAAGTCATCAATTTTATTGTGATTTAATAACATAATCATTAAACGCAGATTTGGATATCTTACATTTTTTCATAATTCATTTAAATTAACATATTGTATGCATGCTTAGTCGATTTGCACCTGTACAACTATACATTTATATATTTGTGGTGGCCATTGTGCAATACTAACTACTTCTTATTATCACGTGTTGTATGTATGATATTGACACTGTAGGTGTATCTACTCATGACTTCATGTATTGTATTGTATTTGAGTATTATGAAAAAATATAACTCAAGTAAGGTACTCGTGATGAGTACCTTACTTGAGTTATATTGTTACCTTACTTGTTTGTGTTGATAATGATATCCATCACTTAGTAAAATATTTACTTGAGACCAACGAGACAAACACCAAATAAAAATGGTAATTTCGGTAACACGTTGTAGATTATTACACCAAACTACCAACGTCCATGTCAGAAACTAAATAAATTGACGAATAATTGCGTGATAATATCTAAACTATTTGGACCGGATGGCGTCGTGGTTTGTGTAACAGACTGCTATTTCAAAGGTCGCGGGTTCGATTCCCGCTCAAGTCAAACATTTGTGTGCATGAACATTTGATGTTTGATTTGGTCTGGGTGTTTTTATGTATAATATGTATGTATTTACGAAAAAAAAAAGTATATATGTATTTATATCAGTTGTCTAGTACCCATAGTACAAGCTCTGCTTAGTTTGGGACTAGATGGCGTTGTGTGTATGTGATAGAATATTATTATTAATATTATTATTATCTTCTCTACAATGTAATTTTATTTCTAACTAGCTGTACCCTGCCACGCTTCGCTGTGGCACATAGTGGTTGCAGTGATGAGGAATAAAGAACAAAACTGACGCTAAAAATAGATAAAAACAAACTTTGAAACGGGTTGTAGATCGTTTCAAAATTTGAGCTCAATCGGTGCAGATCTTTTTAAGTTTTTGAAGCGTACACAAACCAACTTAACATTTTTATATTTAAGTACAAGATGTGTTTTCCCTACTTTCTTACTGTTTTTCTAAGAATTAGAAGTTTGGGTTTTAGGATATCCTGTCTTGAGTATGATGTTTAAAACACTCCTGCTTTTATAAAAAAAATAATTGTGAGGAAATCATTTTAAACGACATTAAAACTTTTTATTTTGCGAGGTGACGTAAAGCTTTAAACAAATTTTGCATAACGATAACCAGTCAAAATAAGACTTACAAATTACGGCATTGAATTTAGTATGACCAGTTGGTTATTAAATAAAATTACATAGTCTCATTTTAACGGTAAGTTTAGCATTGTACAAGTTTTAATAAATTTAGGTAGAGTTTGAGTTTAGCCGAGTTTGTCCGTGTGGTGACGGATCAAGAATACGGAGTGTCACCCCCACTATACATACCGTGAGTGTCGTAAGAGCCGACTAAGGGGCTAAACTACGAATGCCAACAGCAAATAGAAGAAAATCTTGACTTACCCTATACCAATCCGTCTGGCCAGCGTGGTATACCTAGTAGGCCAAAACCTTATTTCGAAGGAGAGACCTATATCCAGCCACAGAATAGGCTGTTGATGATAATTGATGATAATATAAATATATATAATATATAATTTTCATATTTTAAAACTTCAAAAATTAGGTTTTATTAAAAGGTTTACTTTGTATTCTATGTTTAATTTATATTCTAATGTAAACCATTTAACCAGTATTATAGATATGCTTTTCATTAAAGTATCTATTAGAATAAATACCTACGCGGACATATGTATTTTTGTCGATAAAAGTTACTCATTATTCAATAGCAAAAAAATGAAAAATACATAAGGGGCCCGTAGTGAAAGGTTTTCTATTTTCAAGCCTTCGCTGTTCATTTCTCTGTTAGCGGGCTGTATCCCATATACCTTCTTACTATAGGCAGACACATGACATTTTCAAAGAGTATGTAATAATATAGCTGCTGTAACAGCCAGTAATGAAATAAGGTAAAAAATTATGGGAATTGCCTTAGAGTAAACTTGGGTTTTTGTTTAACAATCGTATTTTAACCGTATGAATTAGATACTACTATAATAATAAATAAAGTACTATAATCTCTATAAAAACATATAATATGACAAAAAAAAGCGACTCCCCTAAAAGTCGATTTTATTTCTGTCTTATCATAAAAATAGTTACGGGTAAGACGTTTGAAACGTTATTAAAAATATTTACTCATTGTTATACCGCCTCTGTTAGAAGTTTTGTTTAAGCTCGTCTCATACTTATTC